CCCCTGTGTTTTGCTAAGGCAGGAGTAACAAAGCAGCATAAATGGCTACATACGTGGCAATAAATTAACTACCCAAAACCCTGTGATGGAACTCCAGGGACATCTCAGCAGTGGCACTGATTGGTGGGGAGAGGCCTTAAATACACTGGCTTTGAAAGAGAGAGTTTGCTAGTCAGGAGAGCTGTAGGTGGTACAGCAGGAGTCTCCTAGCTCTGTATCTGTGTGGCTATTGGGACTGTAAATGCTTTCCTTGGGGTGTTCACTCCTTGCTTCCCTTGCAGTGACTGCCTCATAAAGGATGCTTTTCCAAAAACTTCTGTGAGTAGAATACTTGAGTGCCAAAGCAGTCAGCTTTGCATGCCCTTAAAATGGGAATAAGATAATTAGAAATGATCTGCTAGATCAGACCAAGAGCCTATCAAAGCCAGCATCTTAGTAAGGATCTGCCCCACCCAATAAGGGCTGACTTCTGTGTTTCTGACTCACTGCTGGGCTTATTTGTAAGGGGTCACCACCGGCGGCTAGTCATCAAAGGGATGACACCAAATGGAGGTTCGCCTTCAGGGGAGCCACTAGGAGGGTGATAAATGGGCAAGGGTCACTTTAGCCATATTTAATAATTGTACTGAGACAGTTTTATTTTTATTTTATTTTGTGTGTGTGTTTTTTTAACTGGTCAGTAGTCTAGATGATATTAATAGTGACCTTCCAGAGGACTCTGGGAAGTCCCCTAGAAGTCATGAGTCTTCCCACACTGTATGCCTTCCAAGGTATCCTGCCTCTAAACATTGAGATTCCACTTAGCTACCATGACAAATAGCTTTTGATAGACCTGTTCTCCCACTGAATTTATCTAGTCCTTTTTAAAAGCCATGTATGGTAGTGGCCATTGCTACATACGATGCCAGTAAATTGCCTAAGGTAGTTTTGTTTTAGGTGAAATAGTACTTCGTTTTGTCTGCTCTGAATCTACTGCTGATCAATTTCATTTGGCAACCCTGAGTCCTAATATTAAGAGAGAAAGAGAAAAATCTCTATCCATCCTCTCTGTGTCATTAGTAATCTTATAAAGCTCCTATCATGGCTCCCTTCAGTTGTCCTTTTTCTGAACTAAAAAGCTCCAAAGGCTTTACTAATAGAGAATGTGCTCCAGCACTTGATCATTTTTGTTGCAGTTTTTTCTGTGTTTTTCAGATGGGATGTACAGAACTCTACACATTCCATCTGGATGTGTAGAGTTCTCCACTCTGCACTGCATGTGGAGTTGGAGTTTTCAGTGAACTGTGTACAGTGGAGGTTAATTTTGTTGCCATCCGTCTGTCTTGCAAGAGTGGGCCATTGGGGATTAAGTCAAGCTATTGGAGAGTTACTGTGGCTGTAGAGACCAATAAGGGAGAGACATATTTTACTGCAGCTGGGGCAGATGAAGGCTTCCACCATGACATTTCTTGTCTCTGTGCTCATCCCAGCAGTCATTCCTCCTCTGGTCACTGCTGTGGATATGCAACCTGACGGATTGCTTCCAAGCACTGTGGTCATCTACAAGGAATTGCCACATGGTGGGGTTAATGTTGCTAGCTTTCATGTCACATTTGGAGACATCTTTATTATGCAGTGGTGGTCTGCCACCAGGCCTAGTGCCCAAAGCCAGCTCCCCATAGAGCACATCAAGCTCTGTCACTGCTTGACAGGGGGCAGAATTGTACACTACGGCTTGTTCTTCTGTGTGTTCAACAGTCCTAGGCTAAGAAATCTTAAGTTCCCAGATAGTACCTTGGACCCCTTTTGTAAGGAAATCAGTGTTACCAGAAGATTTGAGGATACCAAATGTAAGGAGGTTGATTTTAATGATGTTGCACTCTTTGTTCGCTTTTATTTTGATCTAAAGTTTCTCTGAAGGCTTAGAAAAAGCTAATAGAAGAAAATGAAATACAGTACATACTATGCTGAAAGATATCTGAAAGCAAATGTTAAATGAAATTGGTCCCTCTGTGTCCCTCTTAGAAAAATATAATTCTCTGCATATCAGAAAGGTGGATATTGTGCGTATTTGGGCACCAGCAGATAGAGGAGCATTTTAAACTAGTGTGAGACCGTTTTGTATTAGATGAAGATTCCCCAGTGAGTAATTTTCAAACACTTAACAGTATAGTAGGTATGGGTTCCCCCACAAGCTGACCCAGTAAATACTTTAGTGATTACAGGAGCAAAGTTGGGCTTGATTCCCCCCTTCCAGTGTAACAATCCTCAGACACTACCGTGGCTGTTATCTTCTCCAAGTTGTGGTTAGCCAGGTAAGGAAAACGATAGCTGCTAACTCTGTTAAGATCCCTGTTCTGCCTATTTCTGGGGTAGCTGAGATAAAGTGGACCTGGCGGTGATATATTCTGTGGATTGACATGATCTTGTCTGGGAACAATGGCTCACATGGCAGCCCAGCACTTAAGTATAGCTAAGCCTTGCACCATTAATATCTCACAATGACACAGCTTCTGTAATACCTTGTGATGGAGAAGTTATGCTGCTGTCAGATCATAATTATTGTGGTGTTTTAAGGCCCTGAGGCTTTGTGCAGCTGTTAGTGCACTTTTCCACATTGCACGCTTAAATTTGCTCATTTCTTTTATACCTTGTCCCTCTGCGAACTAGTCTAGGATCCTCTTCCATCAAGTTTGTTCCAGTAAGGTGTTTCCCTTGCTCCAGATAAACCCTGGGTATTCAAGCTTCTGCTCATGAACAAATATACCTCTATAATTATTGTAGGGTTAGCTGAAATATAGCCTTGGAGCAGCACATGGTTCCCAAGCTATTCAAGTATAGCACCTGGACAGTTCAGTGATGTGAACAGTGAATGCCTTGCCTTGTGGTCTAATATGTGCTAGAAGTGCTGTTGACAATCGCTGCATGATGAGACAGAGTGAGTTGGAAAGAGCAGATGGCAAACAGCAGTGTTATCTCCTGGGCTTCAAAGAAGGGACTCTTGGAATCTCAGTTCAGGAATGAAGGAAGGAACAGTGGCTGCCAAGAGCCAGTTACCCAAACTAAACTGCACCCGTGCACTTGCACAAGCTGGTTGAGAGTCAAAATGGAGCCCTAAATGGAACTCTACTCACAAGTTGTTATGCTGGACCCTTCTTTCCAAAAGAACATTGTTCCTGTCATCTATTAATTAGAAACTTTGCCTTAATGGATACCTGGAAAAATAACGAGCATTTGGTTTAAACCTTATTTTCTTTAACAGTATTTAGCTGAGGACATGATCAGTTTCCTCACCCAACTGCTTAGATTCATATTATAGCACTAAGCATTGTTTATTTTTAGGCATAATTAAACTTAGAATAGCTGAGCCAAAAATAATATCTTTATAACAAAAACCTGCAATCCCTAAAGTTGTTTGAAGGATTCAAGCAAATAGAAAAATAACTATTGCTTAACTAATGCATTCAAATATCTCCTTAAATATGTTAAGCTCAAGGCAGAGCGCGGCAGCGGCGGAGGGGAATGACTGATGACGAGTTCCAGAGTTTATTGTTCTTACTATGTTTCTATCCAACCTTCTTCAAAGTGGTTACAGTGCATAGTATGGAGTGGTCTCTCAACTTAGCTGTTGAAATGGAAATCCACATAGCATCTTTGGATAACTCTTGTAGACTGCAATACAAAAGTAATCAGGTTCGGACAGAGCTGCAAGTCCCTAAACATTATGGCTAAAGATCAAACATATAGGAGCATCAGAAAGAGTGCAAAGTTTCCTCAGCCTGGTGCCCTTCAGATATACTGGACTGCAGCTCCCATAATCCCTGACCATTGCTCATGCTTGCTGGGGCTGGTGGGAGTTGCAGTCCATGACATTTGGAAGGCATCAGGTTGAGAAAAGCTGGCTTTAGAGGCTCCGGGGCAGAATCCCTTTCTATTGGTAGAACATCAATTACATTGTTTAGTCAGAAACGTTTGTGGGTGCCTTTGGGATCTAGGACTAACAATGTCATAGTTGGTTCGGGAGTCAAAAGCTTATTCTCATTATTGGAAAACAAATAATTGGGGTTTCTTCTAGGTGGCTTCCACTAGCAGGCAAATTCTCTCTCCCAGCTCCCCACCCAATTTAATAATGGACTTTAGAACCTAACCTGATTATATTTTGATTAGTAAAATTTCACATGGTTGTAAATTAATAAGAAAAAGGCTTTCATCTGTCTCTGGAGCAGAAGGAATGAGGTGACACAGGAGGTATGTCAGATAGACTCTGAGGTTTAATTTTAAAATGTGTGTTGCCCTCATGGTGCAGAGAAAAATCTGAAAAGATGCAAGAGTGACTGATAAAGATTTCAGAGGGTTCTGAGAGGGATACTCAGTGCAGCTTAGGGGAATGTCATATTTAATCTTTGCATACCTCGTCACCTGCTTTATGCGTTTGCTTTTTTTCCCTATGACTGTTGCTTGGCATTATATTTTTCCACTTTCCTGTTGGCATCTGCTAAGGCTGGAGTACTTTAATCAGTGTGGGTGGCACAGTTCTGAATGAGTTATTGGCAATGTTGCTGATGGTAAATGGTGTTTATGTACAACAAATCAAATCTGATTGATTTATTAGTGGAAATGGTCAATGAAAATTTGCTTAATTCAATTTTCAACATTCTGTTTGCAGAAAATGTGGAGAACTTGGCATTTTGTGTTGTGGGACCTGGAATAAACTAAGACAGCAAGTCAACAATATCTCCACTAAAACAGATTTAAGTTGCGAGAGATAGAAGGAAAGCTTGAGACAAGAGAGTAAGAATTTATATTTGCAGAATTATGTGGAGATGGAAAGCCCAAAGTAAAAGCACTGGGCAGATCATATTGTGTGTTCTGTCTGAGTAACCAGCCAAATATCAGCAAGAGAGAGCCTAAAGGTACTATGTAACTTTTTACAATGCTTCAGTAGGGTCTGGCCTTGTGATACTCAGCCATCCTCTTGTTGTACAATTATCTAAAATGTCTTTTTCCTTTTTCTTTTGCAGGCATACAGCTTTGCCATGGGGAGCTGGCCAAAGAATGGACTCTTAGACATGAACAAAGGCCTGAACCTACAGCACATAGGAAGGCCTCACAGTGGGATAGGTCAGTAGCATGACTTCCTTCTCTCACTCCAGCCCAGGTGTATTTTTCTCTGTTTGTGGAATAGTGTATAGTGGCAGGCTCATCTGCAGTTCCCAAGGATGTGTGGCTCTCTTATCTGTGGAAGGCAGCTTATCACTGTCTTTGGTGTGGCAAGAACTTGAGCATATAGGTTTAGGGCTGCCACTACCTCTGGAATACAAAAGGATGCTGGATCCCGAAGGAGCTGGTAGTAGAGAAATAAGCATGCTCCACTTTGATATCGTTTATCTTTTGTCAATCTAGCATCCAGATCCATTACCTCTATATATGTTTCTAAGCCACTTGACACTTGCTGCTGCATTTGAGTGGCAATGGTGAACATGATGCCTCAGAAGTGCAATGCCTTTGTCTTCCTTCCCCCATAGTGGGGCTTTGCCAGATCATCATGGTAGGGTCCTTCCTGAGGTCATGCCAAACCACCCCTCACTTGGCCACTGATTTTAGAATCCATTTTTCTATTCAAGTGTGCGTGTTTTAGCCATGATCATCCCACCTTCTGGATCCAACAAGTTTTGGAGAGCTGGCTGTTTGTTAGTCCTGCTAGCATACATCTAGGAGAGTATATACTGTACTTCTCTTCAGCTTTTGCTGTACTTCTCTGAGCTTTTGCCCAAAAGTCCTAAAATCTCTAATGTGACAGTCCTAGCTGGTATGGGCCAATATATATCTTGTGCTTCCTTGTCCTGTGCGCGGGAGAATTACTAGAGGGTTTGTTCTTTAGGAACCTGTGTGTCGTGCCAGTCCAGGAAAATATGAAAAGCTCTCAGATTGAGGGATATTGATACAACCTGTTCATTGTTTCCTGTTCTTTATGTAAAACCCTTCAAATGTTTGACCTTTTAATCCGACTAGCTGCATTTCTCCTTTCCTTTGCCCCTGCCTAGGCGTGTCCACCTCTGTCTGCTTCTTGCTGTTGTGCATTTACATTTCCTAGGGTGAGAGACTTATGTGAGAAAGTTACCCACCACCCGAGCCTGGAGGAAGCTGTTTAATATTGTTTCAAGATCCTAACCACTAAACTACCAAATCAATATGAGTTAAGGAGATGAATTATTTAAAGCTTACCAGCTTTTAATTAGCAAGCTCCTTTTGAACTATGGATCTGGTTGCTTCATTGATAGGATGTAGCATTGAAATTTTGCTTCTGTGCCTGAGTGTAAATTCATTTCAGCAATATATGTATGCTGTAGGAAAAGCCCACAAATTGGGCTGGAGGGGGAGCCTGATGCAAAACCTGTTTCACGTTGTTGCTAGGGACCCCTTAGAACCATTCATCTCCTCTCTGTGTTTTATAGGAGTGTTTATAGTGTCTCCTCTTACCACACTAAAGCAACAAACATCCCTAGAATATAATCTGTCACTTCCTTTAATTACCTTGTACATTTATCGGACTGTCATTAGTTGGCTTTGCCCTGCTGGATAGCAGTGCACAATAGTGGTTTATTTTCCCCAATCTTCTTGACTGACTTTTCTTTCCAGGGGCTCTTGCTTCTTCATTTCAGTTAAACAGCCTTGAGGTGGGAGCACATGCTGCTACTGCTGCTGCTTTTGGTGTGATGCACTTGCATGCCATCTGAGGTTGTAGCGCTGAGGTTAAACACTGCGCCATATCTGCTCTGAGCCCAGCAGTTAGCCCTTGAGTAAGGTTGTCGAGCCTGACTTCTCATTTTAACAAGGGAAGTTTTCCTTCTCACTGTAGTATTGTGCCAAGTATGTCTCCCTACTCTCCCAAACATACTCCATTTTGCAAACAATGGTAAAGCAGCTTTCGGAGTTGTGATTCGTTCAAGCTTGTGTGGCTCTTTTACAATTTGTGTAGACCCTAACAATGTGTGTCAGTGTAGTTTTAAAATTAATAAATATTTTCCATTACTGGAAGACAGTAACGTGTTTTTTTCTCTGGACCTATTCAGTAACTATTGCACATTTATATAGAAAAATATTCCTAAAATATGTGATTTCCAAATGCTTGACAGTGACTTTAGTAAGTGTTACTTGCCATAAACGGTGTAATGTCATGTGAGTTTGGTCTAGAACATTTCAGTTCAAAAGCAAGCACTTCAGTTGGGGAGGCCAGGAGCCCCGATAGAAATAGTGAAAGAGGGGTTGACTGGCAGGTAGTCTCACTAGAGATGAAGCAAACTTCAAATTAGATATTCTGATGAGATTCAGCTCTGTTGTTGCTCTTCTTCATCAGATCAAGGAGCAGCAGCACATTCTGGGCTGGATGAATGCTAGACTGAATCTAGACAACAGGTGTGATGGTTGGCAGTCTGTTGTAGGGGAGGATCACATGTTCTGGATGCAATCTCTCACTTTCTTCCTCTGATACAGTGGCTGAGGGAGCCTGGGAGACATACCTGTCCTCACTCTGCTCCATTCTTTGGTAACCTCTCAGATAAAGTATTGTAATGTTCAGTCTACACAGGACTGTCCTTGACAATGATTTGGAAACTCTTATCACGCACAGAATTATTTGGTGAGCTTTCTGAGAAATGGGCACAGAGAATATATTAAGGCAATTCTTCCTCAGTTTCTTGGCTGCAAATTATCTTTCAGGCCTGATTTTAAGTGGTGGCTGTAAAAGCCCAAATGGTTTGTGCCTAGCGTATCTTGGGGAGCAGCTTCTCCCATACAAGTCATCTCAAGCTTTATTGCTTCTGGCTGTGCATGGTTTACTTAGCATCCCTGTAGTGGCATGGAGTTCCTTTGCTTTCCCTTCCTGTGGTAAAGGGTCGAAGAAGGACCCTGCAGTTATAGTTGTATGCTGGCCTCTAGGCCGAGTTGCCATGAAGTAGCAGTTTTGTTTGGTTGGTTTTTGCTTTACACACCCTACAATGGAGTGGGCTGAGATCTGAGGGAGCCTCTTCGCCTTCATTGTTCAGCAAGTGCTGAACACTGATTAGACAACTCTGCTGATGATTTGCCAAGGACTACCTGTTTTCCTTCCTTTCTGTCTTGACTTCCTTCCCAGCAAACCCCTGGTTAGTGCATATGCAGTAGCCTAATCTGCTCATTGCTGCATGAATCAAAAAGCTAGCACCCATGAACTGACTATGGGGCTGTTTGGAGTGTGGGAAGGAATTGAGAACTGCGTGTGTGCACACATATACCCTAGCATGCAGAGCAGTTTTGGAAATCGAATGTAGATGCCTTACAAGCTGCCCAACCAAAGCATGTAGTGCAAATGGCAGCCTGATTACACTGCCCTGGCTATGCACAGGCCATCTCCCTTAACTCACGAAAGCCTCATGGGAAAGCCTACCTATTTGAAAGGGTCAACCACCAATATGGTGTGAAGTGCAGGTGATGCATCTGTATCTTTCTGGCTTCCCCTCTCTCTTTTCATTTACTGATTGGAAATCTAGGAAGGTTAGGGTGTTATATTGTTCCTGATCCTGAGCATTAATTAGGCCTGCAGAAGAAGAAGAGGGATTGCGTGTTTTTAACAGGGAGGTTAATGGGATGCTCACAGAGTAGACAGTTTTAATGAGCTTCAACTTGCTGTGCAGTGAGTTTACTCTTTGTGTTAAAAGGGTCATCCTGCAGTAGCTTGATGTGGATTGTCTCCTGGCCCCCAGTGTCAGAGGGGAGCATCTGTCATAGTCCAGGCAGGGCGCATTCACTTAGTGACAAGATTCTAATTAACTCCCACCAAGCTGGCCACCCGCCTGCCCCATGGGGAGCTGCCATGGTGCAGCCTCTTATCTTTACAAACTCCTCATTCTGTATATAGAGTTTGTGTTTGGAGAGACACAGGCAGGCTTTCATGTCTAATGTAAAAGGACAGGTATGATTGTGCCTGTGTGGGTGTGTTCATGCACTTGCCGGGTGTGCCAGCAAGCTGGGGCTGTTTACTATAGGAATGACATATCTTGTCATGCAATGTTCTTTGTTCTGGAAGCTAGTACGTTGGGCTGCCCTTTGGTAGTCCATAACAACCTCTTAGAAATCTAGTTTCTTAGCGCATTTAGTCCAATGCCCTCCTTGATTCTGAAAATCCTGAGCTTAAACCACCCCCAACAGATTGCAGTCCAACCTCTGCTTGAAGATCTTAGGATTAGTTAGTTTCATTGTTGAACTGCTCACAGATTGTAGAGTTGTAAGGTACCTTGAGGGTCATCTAGTCCAACCCCTGCAATGATCTCAACTAGATCATCCATGACAGATGGCTACCCAACCTCTGCTGAGAAACCTCCAAGGAAGGAGAGCCCACTACCACACATAGGGGTCCATTCCACTGCCGAACAGCTCTTACTGTCTGAAAGTTATTCTTGATGTTTAGTCAGAATCTCCTTTATTGTAACTTGAAGCCATTAGTTTGGGTTCTAGCCTCTGGAGCAGGAGAAAAGAAGCTTGCTACATGTGACAGCCCATTAGATATTTGAAGATTGCTATTATGCCTCCTTACAATCTCCACTCAACTGCTTTGATCAGTGGAATTGGCACTACTACAGCTACCACATAATGCCTCTTCGGCATTTGTAAGAACTCTTATCATTTAGTTTGGCAACAGCTGCACTTCGGAACTCCCTGCCTATTGAGATCAAGCAGGTGCCTTCACCATATTCTTTTTGGTATAAACATTCTTGTTTATACAAGCCCACCCATATGTTTAGAAAGTTGAAGTAATTAAATCTGTTTTAGTATTTTAATTTTTGTATGTTTTAAGGTATGGTTGTGAATTTTCTCTGTTTTATTGTTTTCTGTTTGTAAACTGCTTTGGGGTGGGCCCCCCACATCAAGCAGTGTATAAATTGTAATTAATAAATAAACAGCGGAGTTTGCCCCACAGCAGATACCAAGGTAGGGCCCCATTACTACTAATTCCTCCTTTCCTGAAACATCTGTAATGTGTTGCTTATCACATTGCTGTGGAGTCTGTAGCAAACTTCATCGATGTATCATTTTTGCTAATTTCCCAATTCATTCTACCCATATAATCTCCATAGACCCACTGT